CGTAGAACTTCTCTTCAGGGAAGATAGCACTCATTGTGAAACTGGACTTTTCAAGTAATCCACCTTATCCGAATGTCTGATAAAATCAGAGCAAGGCAAGAGTTCATTAAACGTATGGTTGTGAAGTGATTTCAATTATTCATGCTGCATCATTTAAAATTTTGCTCTAGGCATTTTAATAAAACGTATAAATGTCCCCGAAGAGAACAAAGACCTTATATATAAATGAAAAAAACCCAGTAAAGTTCGATATTATGCCGTAATACAGCCTCTATAAATCAATGCGATGTGAAATGTCAAAGCATGCAGAAGCTGCCGTTTAGATATATTCACAACCCAAAATGGCAATGAATATAACACAAACTGACCTTTATCTGGGAAAAAGAAGCATGGAGTTTGCCAGATGCCTCTTTTGTAACTCGACATTTTTTGAAAGTAAGCTTTTGCTCTATCCCTTAACTTAATACTCAGCAGATTTTCGATTATATATTATCTCGCACAGTTAGCTGGCAGTACCTATCAAAAAGAACAGCATCTATGTATGCTAACTTAAAACAAGAAATGTGATTCAATGATCGTTAGGATTAGAGAACGAAGTTATTAACATTGTTATAATGGTGCGTTGGACAAATTCCAAGTTATCACTAAACTAAAAATGCAATAAACACAGAGGGCTAGACAAAATAGATCATTATATTTATGTGAATCTAGCGGGTGCAGCATTATCAGTGAAACGAGCTAAAGGTGGAAAAAGTGAGCTATATAAAATTTAACAGGAAATCTAATACCATAATTAAGAGAAACGCAAATTTTGAACCAAATATTATCCATAACAAAATTTTAAATTTACTTACCAGTATGATAATCGCAGTCTCCTGTTTATGATAGTTAATCAAGAAGGTTAATTTGAATCAAATTTCGTCTGATATATTAAACAATCTAATGTAAATGCTACAAATTGCTTATCATCAAGTGTAAAGCTGAATACTCTAATACGATTATTCTTCCCTGACTATATTATCATTAAGTAGATAGGATTGGATGTTCGAAACCTTCAGATCTTAAGGAAAACGATAATGACAATATGAAAGGTGAAAAACATATAGTTGGTATAAAGTATTTTAAATCGCAATGAATGCCCATTTTATTTATGCTCGCACCCTTTGAGCCTTTCATTAAGCTTGGGCTAAAGGCTCAATTTATTCCAATTACATAGCCAGACATTTTTTGGCCCTGATACGTATATATGATTTCGTTTTTGAACTTAAATTTAGTTAATTTTAGTTCATACACGATCCTATCTCCCCAGAATTCACTCCTCATAATTGACATATAAATTAAATAATCGATCGTTCCTCTAACCTTCGCGATTAAATATTTTTTTAGCTGTCCATAAATAAGTAGTAAAAATAAAAAATGACGCTTTCGTTATAGCGAACTTTAAAATGCTTATTTTTTATTTATTGCCTAAATTAACTAGCAGTACCCTAACCTACCATTCCTGGAGGCGATTACTAAAAGAATCATAATAGAAGACCTTTTGAAATCGTGTCATATAAAAATTAAATTAGTAAGGATCACTTATTAATACCATAGATGAATCTATGAATAGTATCAAGATAAGAAGACAACCGAAATAAACAAAATCCATTTAGATCGTAGATATTCCACAAGGTCTCCCAGACGTTCCAACCAAGTTTCGAAAACAGCGTCGAACCAACACTATAAAGCCCATTTAATTTGTGGCATAATTTTTATCAGCAAGGATGCGGACTGATAGCTGATGTGCCGTTAATTTAATTCTTCCTACTACAAATCACTAATGGTTCTTCTCATGAATAGTATGTTGAAGTATAGTCTTTACTCCTCATTATTCATATATAGGAAAATCACTGTCTAGTTGCGCGCATTCAGGGCCACACATATAGCCAATGGATAAGAGGCAATTCTGGTATAACATATAATGTTGGAAACATCAGCGAACTTCATTTAAGCGAAGTCAAAGAAAGGCGATTGCAATGAGAGAAATCAAATCTGGAATAAGCATGAAAATTTACCCGTGAGGGTCCACCTGTGAGATGTGGGATAGGAAATGAAAGGTCAGAAACAGGCAGATTATGTTCCATAAGAGGTACTGGGCTAAAGGTACAAGTGTGCCAGGCATAGGTACTCAGTGCGCGTAAGTGTGTACACGTGTGCTTTAATGAGAGGTTACTGATCACTTGCTTGACCAAATTGAGGGATACAAACTAACGTACACATGACGAATTGACTAGTGACCAGGGTCCCAAAGAATAAGATGCAAGGGGAGTGGGGATGAAAAAAAGGATAACTGGATGAGGAGTCTGAAGATTAGGGAGAAGAAGACGCCTAGGCATGGCTATCACCGGCTCTAAATTCTTGAGAAAGGCGTAAACGGGGACGAAAATTAAAGGCTCAAAAGCAGCGAGAAAGTGATCGTGATGCGTAGCAGCGACCAATTGACAAGAGGGGTGTAAGAAGGGGGTTGGAATGAAGGTCTGGAGCCCAGCAAACATCGCCTGGAACCGGTGATGAAGATGATTGCGATTCATACATCCACTGGAAGAGACACAATCTTAAGCAACATTGGGGAAAACGAGAGCAAAGGACTGCGCGAATGGAAAATGGGCCATATGAAGTAGAAAAGTATGAAGACCAAGATGGTGTGGACTTATTATGTGGTCGCACTCTCCTTTCAATGTATAGAGGTTGTTTGACCTTGTTTTCGCAACTAGGTGATATTGGTAGAAAGACTTAGAGGAGTGATTCTAGTCTGGAGTACATTGTAGGCAAAACACTTTCCAATGTCGGACCGTCGAAGTGGTACATTACCAAACGTTTCGCCGGCATCATAGTCGGCATCATCAGTGAGTCTCGCCATTCGTCAAAGGAGACAAATAAGCCTATTCTTTGAACAAACGTGTGCTAAACGGTTGTGGTATATCCCCTTCTGCCCTCGGTTATTCACATTTTCATTATCCTCCTATCACATCTTCACTGTCACAATTTTTGTAGTGTGGTGTGCTCCTTTGAGCAGCATTTATAAAAACCCTTCACACTCCACGTTGTCGTAATCACCCCCTTCACCCTTATGCCGGGAATGTTGACCAAAGTCTGTAATATTGTTATGTAGTCCTGCTTCCCTGGGTCTTATCAGAGTCTCCCTCTTGCCCCGTAGAACCCGTCTGCTATCTGCCTGGTACACATATTACACTCGACCTCTGCCATCCCATCTGTGCTATTTGAGGCGTAATTCGACAATCCCTTCCACCTGGGTGATTGATTCGAGGCTAAACCCTCTG